AGTGTTTGATGAAAAAAGCAGTTATTATTTAAGAAGGAATCCCTACAGTACATAGCAAACAACCTAATATTCCAGCAAGACGGTGCGCCACTGTTCGTCAGTATTTGGATCAAACGTTTCCAGGTCAATGGATCGGAAGAAGAGGAAGTATTGAGTGGTGCCCACGGTCTCCGGATCTAAGCCCGTTAGATTTTTATGGGGCCACTTAAAAAGTAAAAATTATGCCAACCAGCCAACATCACTGGAAAATTTGCGACAACGAATTATTGATGAATGTCATCAAATCAGATGCTTCAAAATGTCCGAGAGCGTTTTGAACAAAACCTCTATTATTGCATGGAAGCCCACGGTTAGCATTTCCAGTATTTACTCGAATAACTGGTAAGCTTTTACAGAAAATAAAAATCGTTAAAAGATTATGGCTAGGAAGACAGTGGCGATTTAAAACTGGGAGGTTATAAACTATGTAAAAATACCTTCAAAATAAGCTATTATTCGACCCCTCTTTCCATTTAAGATTTTAGAGGTAAGTTTCACTCTCGATAGAAGGTTTCCTTTCAGGGGTGAAACTAGTAAAAAAATATTACCTCCTAAAATCAAAAATTGGCGTTTTTTCGTAAATGACCTGGGGTGCCCAAAATTTGATCTGTTTTGTTTTCAAATGGCTATCCTGTATATATACAATACTCCATTATATGTGTAAGTATTATTAAATCATCAAAAATCTCCCTTTAAATTCATGATAGTTAATAAATGTTTTATATTGTTTATCTATTTATTTCATTGGTACTCTAGCACCGCAGCACCACTGAATACCAGTGGTGGCTGCACCGAGCATATAGGGTTGCCAGATGCCAGATGCCAGATATCCCGATTTAGGTATGAGCCTCCAGCCTATCCAGCAATTGGACATTTGACAATACCTTTTATTTTTTAAAGAAAATTTTTATAAAATCAACGCTTTAAAATAACTTTTTAAGTGCTTTTAAAAAACCGGTGTTGCCTTTAAGTGAGGTGTGGAGGAGAAGGGGTTGATAGCGCCCATTTTTCGCATAGAGGCCAGGCACCCAAAGCAATTTTTGAGTAATTCCGGCGCCTATGATTCATCACACTGAATTTTTTATTTTTTTTATTTTTACTATGCGATTTTAATGATTTTTGTTTTTAAATAATTACCTACTTTAGTATTTTTACGTAATTTGTATTAATAAGTATTAATTACACTTGATATTTTCTGAATTTTATGTGTAAATTGGTATTTTGTATCAATAAAAAACTAAAGATAGGATTTTTGAAGTGATTTGGCTATGGGGTTCTGAGGTTTCAGTTCATTTTGGAAAAAGGGTTTCTTGCCCAAAATAGTTTGGGAATCCCTGATTTAAAAGATGACACAAAACCATGCATATTTCGTAATCCCACTTCATGTGAATATTTTGATTCGCTTGAAGCAAATCACTTTTATTTTGGCAGATAACGAATTTATTCCAAATTTTATTAAACCACTGTATCTGAATGTTAAACTGGAAAATTGGTTACATAATAATGTTTATTTGTTCAATTAAATAAAAAGAAATATAGATAATAACTAGATCATCCTTTAAAAAATCCTTGCAAATAACCAAATTACTATTTATAGAATATTAAATTTCTTTATATTACCTTTGTAATAAGTAATTATTTCCAGTGAATTTCACGATTCAAAACCACAAATGGTTCCCAACAATTTTCCTATTACACATTTTAGAGCATTCCACTCCATTCCTACACCTCGTTTGTATACATATTGTCCCAAATGCATGGAATTCCAAACAAGATATGCTAGAGTCATAAAAGAATTTGAATAACCCAATTCCATATGAAAATCCAAAATGCGAAATGGCGTTTCTACAATTTCACCAAACCTCGTTTTTACTCATGTTCAGGGCTCACTTTCCTCTATTTTCCCATTTCTGAGTTTTCCCCATTGTATACCTGGTCCCCGCACATAAATTTGATGAGGGAATATAAAATGTTTCGCGAAATATTTTTCTACTTACTTGAATGGAGACCGTATCATGGTTTAGGGGAAAATGGGATAGATTTTCAACATCTGTTTTGGTTTTTATGCTCTCTAGAATCAGAAAATTTTTCTAAACAAGTCAAATAGAATTAACAAAATTAGAATATAATTCATCCAAACTCCTGAAAGGTTAATAGAAAACCAATTTTTACTTTATTATCAGCTTCGAGCATATATATTTCATAGAGTCCGCATTCAACAGAGTTTGTTTGGGTTATGAGGGGAAACAGGTAGACACTAATTTCAGTGTCGCATCATTTTTACGGGGTTTGCAATTAATATAAATAATAAATTTGATATATACCTTTAAAATTCTTTAAATTATGCACATATTTTATAAACTTGTATTATTTAAGTAGGAATCTAGTGATAGTAAATTATTATTATTTATTATTATTATTTGTGTTGGACACATCAGATTTTTTTAATTCAAACATCAGAAAGTGTAATACGGAAAAATTAAGGTTGAAATAATGGGCAATAAAAAAGATAAAGAGCTTATATTTAAAAATCAAAAATATAAATAAATATTAGGTATATTATAAAAATATTTATGATATCTATTAACACACATGTACAAGAATTACAATGAAAGAATTTGTTCCAATAATTTATTAAACAGTAAGTCCTGATGGCAATGATCCTGGAATTAATCTAGTTCTTCCTCCACATCCAGTCTTTGACATAAACATATGTACAGAAAAATGACTTGGATCATAAAACATCACTATTTGAAATGTTTTCTGGAGTAAGTTTCAATATGTTTCATAAAATGCGTTTTTCGGCAGGATTAGTTAGAAACCTATAAAAAAAATTATTGATTTAACTCTTCAACATTATCATGATAAAATGAGTTAAAAACGAAAAGCTTGTTAATATTGAAGTCCAAAATCTAAAACAATATTCCTCATACATAATATAAGTTCTTTAAATTTAATTCACTAAATTTACCATTTATTTTAAATTCATGTTTAACGGCCTTTTGCATAAAATGTGGATACTTATGTTTCTTTTAAAAAAATGGTAGAGACGCTAATGATTACTTACTTGTGGAATGACCTTGACGATGCCTTTTCGTATTTTTATTTAAAACTTACACAAACTCTCACCCATCTCTCACCATTGTTAAAATTTGTATCACTAAAGTAATAAAAGACAAAAAATCACTTATAAACTACAAAGATAAGCTAGAAATTAATGAAAGTCAAAAATCAAATGACAGTTCTGACAATTTCGAACGATTTGAAATGCCAAGCAAAACGAAACAAACCAATGGGAATGCTGGACACTATTTTTCCCCCCTGTACCAAAACAAAGTCCATTTGGACGATTACTCTAGTAATATATGCTCGAAGATTATCAGTAATAAGAATATTAAAGATAGTCTCATTGTTACTTGTTACAAGTAAGAACGATAATGAAAAAGCCATTTTTTGGCCCTATTTTTAGGTTCATCCTATTCGCGATTCAAGCTAAGTGATACGCCATCTAAAGGAAATTTGTAAAAGGTGTTTATAAGTAGAAATTTGTTCAGTGTTGCCAGGAGTAGCGGAATTTAGCTACGTCGTCGAATTTTTAGCTCTTGAAAAAGTGGAAAGACGTTTTTGTTAGTAGTAAAATTTGTTGGCAATATGTAATCATGCTCTATATTTATTTAAGGAATTTTCTAAGATCGATTTATTATACTGTTTTTTTTTTAATTTCAGAACCCCGCATATCACAAATATTTCGTTTATGACCGTACCGATCCTAATTTTAAAAATAAAATTTTTTTGTTTTCATGGAGCGATTGGTAGTTGGTATACAAATAGCGCATTTTTTACATTTAAAAACAATTATGAAATTATGAAAAAAAAAAATATGGGTAACATTTAAAACCGATTAAAAAAGCGGCATAATTTTTTCTCGCAAAATAAGGGAGTTATGATCAAAATAAAATTAAAATAATTGCCACTAATTTTTGCTGCCACCACAAAATTCGACAAATTTTTATAGAACTAAGTTACGTATTACTTACCATCAAAGTGTTCAAATATGACCAGAGTTGAAGAAGCAACCATTTATAGACTTGAAGCAACGAAAAGATGGAAGTATTACAGTAGCACCAAAAACGTCAACTGGGAAAAAATCCTTTCAAATATGAATTTTAAAAATGTACCTTAATAAACCCGCAATCTTCTACCCACGCACTAATGGCCCACCCTGTATTATTGATAACACAAATATTATAATTGACTTGAACATACACGTTTAATAATTGTACTTCGCATAACTGCACATTCAACATAAATATTAATAATAGATAAATTAAGTTTTCTAATAAATATTTCGCAATAAATATTCTGTTCCTATATTATTGACAATTATTGGTGGCAGCACAAAAAATATTGTACGCACCACACTCGAAAATGTATTTACAGGGATCGCATGCTCGCCCTGTAAAGTATCACTTTCCGAGCTTGACACGTAAATAACTATTGTGTGAAGCCTCTAATGGGACTATTCTAAAAATATTTTTTATAGCGATTTTTGATGATTTTTTAACATGTAAACTTTTTTACAATTTCGTTCTTTCTTCAATTTTTTCAATTTTTTTCACTTTTCAATATATTCAGAAAATAGTTTAATAACATTAGAATATTATAAAAGTAAATTCGCATAGATTTATTGCCTATTAAGCCCCTCTTGCATGTTGAAAAATTCTCCTGTGCTAATACATTTACTAACACCGCCTCTATGAATCAGCAACTTTTAATTGGTATTATAAAACATAATTTTAACTTTTACCCAAAAAACTCTACTGCTCTAGTGTAATTACAAAACTGATAGCTGAACTATACAAATTAAACAAAAGTTTTCTCTAATTTGCGGCTCGTTCTGACCTCATCCTCGGGAAACATCTGCTTTCATTGCACAACAAGAAAACCAAATAAAAACTTACCACTACGACAGAAAATAAAATTTTCGATTTGAGTTGCGTGGCGTGCATCAGGTCTGGCAACGAATTGAGTGCTTCTAGTGCCCTGGGCCTGCACTGTCGGTAGAGCGCCTCGTATCTGCTAACAACGTCCTTCCTGCAAACGAAAAAGAACTCAGTGACGGCACGAAAGAAGTTTAATATACACCGTGTCCCACGTAAGGCGGGCATTACAACTTATGGAGAATAAATTAATTTGTATTTTCGCCATTTTCTGATTATACATAATCGAATATGCTTTTTTGAATTAAAATAAAATGAACTCTGTGCAACTTCCGGTTATACCGGAAGTGACCACTAACTTCGTTATTTTAAAGGGAATACACCATATTTTTTTTTAATTTTAGATTCAGCATGAAATTCTGTAAACAACGATACCCCATTTGCCTATTCTAGTTATAGCGGATTTGGCGTTATTCAATTTTTTTCTACATTTTTAGTCGCCGGTAGACATTTTCTTAAAGTCGTCTATCTCAGGTACTATATCTATCAGATACTTAAAATTTTAACCAGAGGTAGTAGATGGGATGTACTTCTTGAGAATATTTAGTTATTCATTATTTGTTGTTGCAAATTATTTTTAAAAATGAAATTTTTTAAACATAAAAAACTTTTTTATTTTAAAGGGAACACCCTATATATTTTTTAAATTTAGGATTCAGCATGAAATTCTGTAAACAATGATACCATATTTGCCTATTCTAATTATAGCGGATTTGGCGTTATTCATTTTTTTTTAATTTTTAGTCGTCGCGCCGGTAGGCATTTTCTTAAAGTCGACTGTCTCAGGTACTATTTCTGTTGGATACTTGAAATTTTAGCCAGAAGTAGTAGATGGGATGTACTTTTAAAAACATTTACAGTTTTCTGCAACAAAATATGTCGTTTAAAAAGTTTAAATTTTTTTAATGATAAGGTACATACTAACTAAAAACAATTTTTATTAAAAGCACATGGTTTAAAAAAATCATTTTATCAAATGTTCAAAATGCCCCCCGTTAGCTTCTAAACATTTTAACAATCTTTTTTCAACATGATTAGTTGTTGCTTTACGAATCATTTCACCATCTAACTCGTTAAAGGCATTCCGAACTCTTTGCTCTAATTCTTCTTTAGTATTAATTTGGGTAGAGTACACTAACTTTTTAATATGACCCCATAAAAAAATCAACAGGAGTTAGATCTGGCGATCTTACAGGCCAAAGCCAAGGACCATTTGGACCTATCCATCGGTCTTCAAAGAGTGCTGTAATTTCTTGATTTACATAGTATGTTGAATGTGCTGGGGCACCATCCAACTGGTACCAAAAATTATTATTTGGTAGCTGGTTTAAAATGTCGGCAACTACTTTTCTAAGAATTCTAATGTATCTTTCTGAGGTCAGTCTTTCATTATAAATGTAATAAGTAGCTCTTCCAAAACCGATCACTGCAAACACATTAAAACTAAATTCGTACTGAAATTGTGCTTCACGATAAAAATGTGGATTTTCGTTTGCCCAGAAATGACATTGCTTGCGATTGATGATCCCTTTACGTGTAAATTTCGACTCGTCTGACCACAAAATTTTGTTTAAAATCTCGGGATCTTCTTGAATTCGTACCAATAACCATTCGCATAATTCAGTTATTTGATCTCAGATTTCAGTCTTATTTGATCACCATCTCGCAACTCATGAACTTTTCTTTGTGCATAGGGATGCCATTTATTTAGTGCTAAAATTCGTTGTATTGACCCTCGACTAATATTTAAATTATCTTGAGCCATTCTAATGGAGGCGTGAGGATACGCAGTAAAATACCCTAATACGTTAATTAGATTAACTTCTTCATCTCGGACATAATGTTGATGGTTTCTTCCCGGGTTTTGTTTAAAATTATTCAAAAAGTTAGCTTCGATTCTATCAAATTTCTGTCTGTTCATTGGTGGTAAATGAGGGTATCGTTCATTAAACATGCGGCAGGTTCTACTTTTGATTCGATTACATTCTCCATGAATGTAAAATAAATTAAGAATATCTTGGTTGGTATATTCTTCAATATTTTCCATATTTTCCATATTTTGAACGCAAAAAATACACAACTTAAACACATAGAAATATGACAATTCAGTTTGTTGACAGATTGTTGTTTAGCATATTTCCACGGCATACTAAGATAAAAAATTAAAATGTAAAACTATACTATATTATGTAGGTGCATGCGTAAAATTTAAATTTAAATTTTCTTAAAATTGGCGAGAGATAATTATAGGGAATTAATAGTGCAAATGAAGATCAATGAAGAATAATTTTCTGAACAAAATGAAATAAAAATATACAGGATTTTCCATTTAAAATAAAAAAAAATTTCATGTTTAAAATATTTATTTTTTAAAATAATTTCCAAACACACAGTCGAACAAACGATGTACAAGTAAATTTAAAAAAGCAAATGTCTGCCGGCATATAAAAGTTTATAAAAAACTGAATAACGCCAAATACACTATAATTAGAATAGGCGAATGGGGTATCATTGTTTACAGAATTTCATGCTGAATCTAAAATTTAAAAAATATATAGGGTGTTCAATTTAAAATAAAAAAGTTTTTTATGTTTAAAAAAATTCATTTTTAAAAATAATTTGCAAACACCCCGTACAACAAATAATGAATAACTAAATATTCTCAAGAAGTACATCCCATCTACTACCTCTGGTTAAAATTTTAAGTATCTGATAGATATAGTACCTGAGATAGACGACTTTAAGAAAATGTCTACCGGCGACTAAAAATGTAGAAAAAAATTGAATAACGCCAAATCCGCTATAACTAGAATAGGCAAATGGGGTATCGTTGTTTACAGAATTTCATGCTGAATCTAAAATTAAAAAAAAATATGGGGTATTCCCTTTAAAATAACGAAGTTAGTGGTCACTTCCGGTATACCCGGAAGTTGCACAGAGTTCATTTTATTTTAATTCAAAAGAGCATATTCGATTATGTATACTCAGAAAATGGCGAAAATACAAATTAATTTATTCTCCATAAAGTTGTAATGCCCGCCTTACGTGGGACACGGTGTATACCTATATAGGTTAACAATAAATATGAATTATATTTCAAATTTGTTTTTTTTTAGGAAGGAGTGTCCGAAAATTAAAAAAACACTATACTCGAACAATTTTTAAATGATAGTGACTCATCTTGCGGATTGTACTGTGGTCAACCGGCAACAATGTAATTCTATTATGATTTTCAGAGCTCAACTTACCGGGATCATTTTATTGTTCATGCTTCGTCAACGCGGAAATTTAAAAAGTGAGATTATTCCATAATATTTACTCCTCGTACAAATATTGTATCTAGCCAAGTCAGGCAAATACTTTGAATCAGCGATAAACTCGTCAATACTAAGAAAGTCTACTGGGAAGACTAATAAACCAGTTAGGTATTATTTCAATTAAATAAATCAGTGTTGTAGCGTGAGACAGGGATATGGTTAATTGTAGTAGTTTATTTTTATGTTAAACTAAAGTGTTGGTAGTGTATAATAACTTTTTTGTGTTAACATTGCCCGGTTGACTGAGATAGACATTGTGTTATATTTATTAACTTGAAAATAAATGTTTATTAAGGTAAGTAAATAACGGATATGTAGATCAGTCTAATTAAGGATGCCACAGCACTTTCGGTTTTTGATATTTTGATAAAAATTTGAATTTTAGTTAATCCTTTCCTGGCTAATTAGGACCACAGGTAGTTGATGGGTTAAATATTTATCGTGTGGCACTGACCCCGCATAATCTGTTATAAACAGGAATATTTACCCTAATTTCCAAATAATGATTGAAATAAATAAGTGTATATATGGGCTATTTGTTTTATTTATTTTAGTTACGTGCATTTTTTATTTGTATTCGGAACTTTGATTTGAGTGTGTTTATTATATTTCCAGTATATTTTTATTATTTTTGCGTTAATTTGACATTTCCTGTGAAGTTTTGTTGTGTATTTTATTTTTATTTGTATTTTATTTAAGTACTTATCTAGCACTTTTATTTTATTAAAATATAATTTAAATTCATTATAGATAAAAATATAGTTTGTAGATTGAATGCCTCCAAAAATCCATCGAAATCAGGGTCAAATCATTTCAACTATATACCGAGTTCACCAAAAAATTTCGGATGGCCTTATTTCTGGTAAAATTCAGGTTGAAATTTTGAATTTTTGGGGGTGAGGCAATGCATCGAGGCAAGAAATTCCACATACTTTTCATACATAGGTACCTTGATTTTTAATAGCAAATAAAATAATTAATAAAATTTTAAATTAAAATATTCTACAAAGTAATCTTTGCAATTTTTAACTTTTTTAATATGAATGATGTATTAAAAAAAGTGCTCTCTCATAATCCTTTACAATTTGTACAGGGTACCATTGAAAATTTAGTGGTAAGGGTAGGTTGATGCAAAGGGAGATAAAAAAGAAATAAAAGTACTCGAAGTACGATCTCTATGCACTTCTTCATATCTTCATTTATATCTACATATACAGTGTAGATATAAATACAATGTAATCAAAAAGGTGGTTAAGGAATTTAATGTCTCAGAGGATTCCAGTTCTGAGGACTCTTCAGCCTAAATCAATATTTTTGGTTAGAACTAGCACTTCAAATTTCCGTTCAGGAATCTCGACAGTCGATATCGTTGATAGTCTAACAGTAAAGAAGCACGCCCGACAAACGTTGAAGTCTGGGTTCGACTCCCAGCGATGACAGGTTTTTTTTCAAATCTGCAAGTATTTTTTTCACCTTTGGGATCCCGGGATAATCTTGATAATTCGTAGGGAAAAATTCTCTAATTTGCATATTGTGGAAGATATTGGCGGGAAACCAGTTTTAGGGTCCATTCTGAGCCCTTTCCGACGCAGCAGAGTTGGTAAAAGTTTTCGACCTTGGAAGCGACCGCCGAGACCTAAGAGTTGAGCCACAACGGAAATCTGGACCGACTTAATGACAGGTTGGTCACTTCAGTTACTGGACTAATAGTCTAGAGATACATCCCAGCAATATGGCAATAGGCGAAAGTAGTCTCCCTTACTAAAGTAGATAGGGT